GCAAATTGAATATGAATTATAGAAATTTTACAGATTATGCAAAAATTTAAATAATTTTTCCAATAAATACACAGAAAATCAATACAAATGAATGCAATTTAATTAGATTTATGTTAATATTTTGCTTAACCATTGATTTGCAACTCTTAGGGAGTGTTCAGAGAGCGTGCCTTCGAGTTGATAGCATTTGTGGCCACGATTACCATTGTTTTAGTATACGTTATATTCAACTATTCTGCCAATCAGTCGCACAGCAGCATTAAAATTGTATGTATTTTGTAATCCAATTGTTTGTTTATCACAAAAATCTAAATTCAATTCAATTGCTTTGATTGCACTACAATTGAAGGCGCGTTTGACGATCACATGTCTATTCGCACCCATACTGATAGTGGGAGGCATTGTATTTACTATGAGATACCTTCGGTCCAAAAATTTGATTTTCCGGACCGTCGGCGCCAACGCTGAGATGCAACGGATCTGCGAAATACTATTCGCCGCTCAAAGTCTGTTGAAATTTGACGTACAATTAGCCGGTTCTTCGCTCATACTGTGGCTCCGCAAAGGCTTCAGACATTGGGATCAAACCGACCAAATCGTTGTCAGCATCGGATCCATTGTCACAATTGCGTGGATTTCATTGGGATTGTTAGCGGTATATGATTTGCATATTTATAACTTAATTTATTACATATAAGTTATGCAATTCATTGCAATCAGTAAAGTAAACATGAGATTACATTTGCAGTAATTCATAACTTGAAGCTTTAAACAATGTTATGATTATGTTGTGATTACAGTGTTTTATAGATCATAAATCTTTATTATTTTTATTTTAATACTAAACTAATTATTGTATTTCAGATGCGGTTTGAAAACAAGCCAACAGTTTATGTATTTCTAGCGACGAGTATTTTCGAGCCCATTATTATTATCTGGAATTTAGTCCGAGTAATCATTTCTTATCATAGAATTTATTGTTTAAAATGAAAAATTAATTTTTAATCAAATTATTAAATAGTATTCAGAGGGTGTCGACGACGAAGTGTTGGAGTTATCAGTCTATACATCGGGTATTATTGCACTGATTGTTCGCATCACTACTTGTGTTGTTATGATATTTGTTATGTTTAACTTCAATAAAGGACTCAAACATAAAGGTATGCGTGAGTTGTAAATGCATTCGCTTTTATTGATTCAATTGTTTTGTCGAAAACACAATGCCTTTGATTACAGTATTTTTAATGATTGTTTTGTCGTTATTTTATGAAATGTTTTAGTTTACGGAATCAAAGAAACCATCGATACATCTTCTCAATCACCCACAGAACCTATCGTTACATAATAACTATAATCACAATCTATTTATCCATTTTATATGACAAAATTACACACATTTTAATCCTCTAATTATTTATAATTGTATTTTTAAAATGCAAATAATTTGTGATAAAAATGTATTGATTCTTAAGATATTTTACAATGAGATTTAAACAATTATATTCTTATTAATTATAATGATTTTTATTATTAATTTAAATAATTATTAAATAACTTGTAACCCAAAGAGACATTAATGCATTCAAAACAACGTTATGTTTTCACGTAAAAGACTATAAAACTAAAATATTAATTTAATATATGTTTTGTATATAATTATTACATAAATTAATTTTTCTGTTAACACTTGTATTCAATTAAAACATAATTAATAAAACAATATTTATCTGAATTGTATGAGTGCTTGGATTTGACGCCAAAACCAAACCATTGGCTGCAATGCCAGAGACGACAAACACATTGAGTGAACGCCCACTCAATCGCAGCCAATGATTGGCTCAAAGTTGGGTCAAAACAAACACTAGTTTTTGTTTTTTATAACTTTTAAATCATTTTGTTTTTAGTTGTTTTTATCACTCATTTTGTGTCAACATTTATAGCCATCGATGAACACCTGAAGACATGGAACTGAACACCGATGACAATAAAACCGGTCAAAACATGGCCACCGATGGACGACAGTATACGTTAGCGGATCTCGGCTTAAGAGCGGAACCGCTGGTCAGACAGACACCTATTGGACCCGTAAGTGATCTCTTCTTTGTTGCCTCCCATTTCATGGTCTGATCCGTTATTTTTGCCGATTACTGGCCGACCGATAGACTCGTTCCCTATACTCGCTGTCGGCCTTCGAGTGGATCTATCTGTTGATATCGTTGACGACAGTGGTGTCTGTGGCGGGCATTTGCGTCGACCGTCTTATAGCGCTTCCCAAATCGTCTCAAGACTTTACGTTTGCGTTACTCCTCCTCTGGACCACTGGTTTCTCATTGGTTTACGTGATTCAGGTCTCTGACCATCACTTTGTCCATAACTTTGATTAACAATTTGTTAGAAACCCTATATTTGTGACAATTATTGTGTTGTTGTGACAGAATTAGCGGAACCGATACCGGAACAGGTACTCACTGTCTGTCACGTAAACCCCGGGGTAACCAATGGGAGGGCTTTTGAGATGATTACAAATTAAACCTCTTTTAACACAATATAGTGTTTGCAATCGCCTAATGATATGCAGAGTTTCCCTATAAATACGAATGCATTGATAATAGTTATCAATTGTTTATATTTTATGACTAATTGTATATGAATTTGATTGAGACATATGTAGGGAGTGGTGAGAGAGCGTGTGCTCGAGTTGTTGGCATTTGTGGCCACGATATGCATACTTATGCTGTACGTGATTATCAACTACTGTGCCTCTCAATCGCCCTCCACTCTCAAGATTGTAAGTCATTTCGGCGTTTCATTTCAATGGCATTTCATAGGAAACCATTGCTATCCTCACTACAGGTGCGCCTAACGATAACGTGTGTGTTCGGGCCGATACTCATACTGACGGGCCTTATATATGTGCGAAAGTATTGGCAGTCGAAAAGCCTGATCTATCGGACTGTCGGCGCCAATATTAAGATGCAAAACATGTGCGAAACACTGTTTATAGCCCAGAGTTTGCTTATATTTGACGTACAATTGAGCGCTTCTTCGCTCATACTATGGCTAAGGAATGGTATTGAGTATTGGACTTCGACCGAGATTATTGTAGTCAGTGCTGGAACTGCTATTACAATACTTTGGACATTTATCGGATTGTTATCTGTATTATTTTATAACATTTTTATAAAGTATTTTTCATTAATTTATATAAAATTTCTGTTATTTGATGTTTAGATGCGTTTTGAGAATAAGCCTATGGTTTACGTATTTTGTATGTTAAGTATCTTTGGACCAACTTTTGTGATCTGGAATTTTGTTCGAGTAATGTATTTGTTTATTTTCCTGTGTTAATGTGTTATATTTGGCACACATTTCTTGATCAATACAATTATTTACAATTATTTAATGAATGCTTTGTTTGTCTCAAATCACGGAACAGTACATAAGAGGTGTCGGCGACGAGATGTTAGAGAACTCGATGTTTATGTCGGGCGGTATTGCACTCGTCATCCGTTGCATAACAATTGTGTTTATGTTTTTGGTTTTAAATAATTTTAATAAAGGACTCAAACAGAAAGGTTTGTTTTGCCAATTATTACATTTGTCTGCAATTATTTACAATTTTGGAAATTTGACTTTCTTTCAAATACTATATATTTATTTGCATTATTTTGGTTTAGTTTACGGAAGTGGGGATCAAATCACATGCTCCGAAGCAAATCAACCCATTCGCTCATAATTTGTTTTTATTTGCATTTATTGCTAAATTTCTAACTTTTAAAAGTTGTTATTTAAGACAATTTGTGAATATATTGATATTATGTGATAAATCTAGTGTTTCATATATGCAGTGCAGAACCCAATCAATTAATATAGAATATCTCTAATATTGAATATCTATTATACAAAAATATTATTTATATCACATTTAATGCCATATTTTATATGTAAAAGCTTTTATATCGTGTTTTAATCTCATTTTACCAAATCATGATCAAGTGTTATAATTATGATAACTTTCTAATTACGCTAATCTCAATATTTTGATAAATATTTTTTAACTGACATTCAAAATGTAATTTTTAAAAATTTGCTTTTATTTTGAATTAACTATTAATTAGTTAAGATTGTATTTCATAAACTATTTATATATTTAATTAAATACATTTATTTTTTAAGACGATTTTATTATTAAATAAATAAAAATTTATAACATTTAAAATAATTTATTAATTTGCTTTCATTGTATTTTTTAGCCATTTTAGAAAATATGAAACTTGCGTATAAACACCGGGAAAGTCATCTAAAAATAAAACACATTTTTAATAACTGTGGCATTAATAGTGAGATAAAGCCCTTTACCGGCACACGTGGATCCATAGGAGACAACACCAGCTAAATAGGCCTTTCCTTTCACTGTAAAAATCAATTCATTAAATTTTCAAATCAATACATAATTGCTACACATGTTTACCGATTTCTACCATCGGTCCGCCAGAATCTCCCTAATATGAGATACAAATATTGAGTTTAGAGACAATTACAGAATATTCTCAAGCATTTTGATGGCATTTGTAACAAACTATAAGCTTATAGTAAATGAACACATAATTAAGGGACGGGTATGCGATGTGGCCATACCTGACAGGCGTCCTGTTTGTAATTCCAGGTGCAAAGCTGTGACTTATAGAGTGTATACTTTTTCTCTTTGTATTTTTGGGCGCAATCGGCGTCTTTGACCAGATTCAGAGTGACGTCCTGTAGTTTGACGGGAAGGTTGTCGTCGTCGAACTTGACGGCACCCCAACCGGCCACTATCATCTTCATGGTCAACGGCTCGTCGTAGCTGTTGTCCGGCAGACACACCGGCTTAACATTGTTGGAGAACTTGATCTCTTTGGCCACTTTCATCATCGCTATGTCTGAGTTTAACATTCCGTCCAAATTAAACCTTTCGTGAGTTATCACTACAACACAAATGTACACAAATTGATCCATTATATTGGTTGTACAGTATGTGGTGTGATGTTTGCATACCTTTCTTTATCTTATATGTCGGCCCATTGTTCCTGTTGTTAGTGCCGACCCGTATGGCCCACGAAGACGTTTCCGGCGGATCGTCTCTAAAAATGACACATTTTAGTGATATTACAATATTTAATGATTACAATTACCCCATAAAACAATGCGCGGCCGTCACTATCTGTGGCACAGATGAAAACAATTAAATTATAAAAACAAATAATAATGGTATTGGGGATGAATGCGAACCCATTCGTGGTTAATGATAGAGCCCCCACACCAGGGCTCGCCGTTCTTCAGAATGGCTACAATCCAGGGATGAGAGCCTTCGGAAGCGTCGGTTCCGCCCACTATTCGTTCGGCCAAATCGGAACTCTGGCCGCAATTGCTTTGAGACATACTTCTGCCCAAAGCGTCTTTCGGCGACCGTTTCTGCACTCCCGGCGATCGCGACTGAACTCCGTGTCCGACCTTCTCTTCGGCCACTGAGTCTTTTTTCTGACCGATTCCGCGATTGATCTTCATTTGGTGCAAATCCTTGATCTTTAACATCGGTTTCTTCTTGTTTGATGGCTTATAGTTCGCTATATAGTGCTCGTCCTCTGAATAGTCGTCCGAATCCAGGGATCGGAAATATGCCGGCTCTGGTCTGTAAGGCCTGTCATATGGTCTGTAAGGGATGTCAACTGGTCTGTAAGGTTCTGGTCTATAAGGCCTGTAAGGTTCAGGTCTATAAGGCCTGTAATCTGGTCTGTAAGGTGTTTCATGTGTGTAATGTGGTATAGGTTTGGGTCTGTAATAGTATGGCTCATAAGAATGATATCTCCCGTAGTCTTCATAGCTGTCCGGTTGATAGTAATCATAGGTTTGATATACTTCTGAAACTGTTATTAATAGAGAATTAAATTATTTGAATGTTAATAAATGATACAAATAAATCATGATAAGCACTGACACACGTTTACGTAAATAATCAAAATCCATGGGAAAGACCTGAGAATTAAATTATATGCCATTTGTAAACATTAAGTTAATTAGACATTAATTAAAATGGTTTTCATTTTATATATGTATTTTAAATTATAATTTTCAAACGCCAATCATTGGTGACGTTAATTAATTTGATTTGATATGCATACATAACATTGAAAATTTTAATTAATATTTATTTGAATTTTTCAAAATAACTCTGACTGCAATTACTTTCAATACAATCTATTAGTCAAGTATTTTTGTTATTGCAATTTAAGATCATATTGAATTAAAATTTTTATATAATTAATTTATTAATTAACAATTGTTTTTACGGTTCAATTGAATTGATTAATAAAACTATTAAAAAATTGTTAATAAATTGAAAATGTATGATGTATTATAAAATACATGTATGAAATTTATTGATAAACACTCTTATTATTATGAAATTCATTCAAACGGTGGTTATAATAAAGTAGACGTCAAACTTGATGAATAAAAACCCATGAATGCATTCCTACGTGCAATTAATTTGTCCAAACAATTACATGATTTACAGCCAAATATTTAAATTGAAACCTAAATCTTAATTACATTTAGAAGTTTAAGGTAATGATGAAGTGTTTCATGACATGTC